AAAAAACACCTTCTAATTTTCCCAGGTTCCATTCATTCTTTAATGAAGCATACTCATTTAAAAGGGTGGTTAAAAAAAAAAATCAAAGGAAAACCTGATTACTTCTATGTGGACTTTTAATAGGTAGTTTTTTAAAATCTAAAGCTTATTCCAGTTATTTAGAGGTAAACGGAGTCACCATAGGTAGGCCTCAACTGATATGGCCTCTATCACAAACTTTATCCTACTTTAGGCTCTCTCGCTTCTTGAAAACAAAAAAAAAGTATTAAAGTTTTAATAACTTGAAATGTCTACAACTGGAAATCTATGAAGGTTTTGAGGAAGGGAAAAGTGCATAATCAAATCTGAGTTTTAGAAAAACTCTGGAATGTCAAGTATGTGACAGAAAAGCTAGAAGCAGAGAAGCCAATTAAGAAGCTATTTGACCTTCTAGATCAGTGGTTCTCAACCTTGGTTGCACATTAGAATCACCTGGGAATGAGGCCCAGCAATCAGGATTTTAAAAAGATTCCCAGGTGATTCTAATGTGCAGCCAAGGTTGAGAACCACTGTTCTAGATGATGAGGCGCAGAAAAATAATACTGACAATAGAAAGGAAAATCTGGATATAATAATAATAATCTATATATATAAAAAGCCAGTGTCTGTGATGACCAGGACGACCAAACGACCGGTCACCATGAGGTGGCATTGACCTCTCGGTGCCTCTCCGCCCCAGCTTGTGAGCAGGGCGGGGCGGGGCTGGGGTCAGGTGAGTGGGCTGAACAGCTGACCTCTTGGTCACTGCCCCCAGGTTATGAAGGATCAGCAATAGGGAACAGGGTAATCGGGGTCGGTGGCGGGAGGACCTGGCTGGCTGTCAGGCTGTTGGGATCACCAGCTCATCCCTGGCTGCTCGGGGGCTCAGACCTGCGGAAAAGCAGACACCGGTGACCTCACCTCCATGCGCGTGTGCCAGGCCAGCCGCTCATGGAACATGCTGCCCGCTCGGGGCTGCTCATGCCAGGGCGGGTAGGTTGCGGGCGCGCCCCGAAGCTTCCATCAGCATCTCAAGCCCTAGCAGTGGTGGCGGCGGCGCCCGCATGAGCAGCCCCAAGCGGGCAGAGTGTTCCATCAGCGGCCGGCCAGTGCATGCGCATGGAGGTGAAGTCGCCAGCGCACACTTTCCCACAGGCCTGAGCCCCCCAGCAGCCGGGAATGAGCTAGTGATCCCAATGGCCTGACAGCCCTGCGGCGGAGGCAGCGTTCGGCCTGGGGACTGGCGAACGGGCAGAAAATGGAGGCTAAGCCTAGGGACCCTACCTGCACGATTTTGTGCACTGGGCTTCTAGTTATAACATAAGTAGCTGCTGGTATTTAGCGAAAACTTTTCTGTGTTATATGCACTGTGCAAACCACTTTACATGTATGCCACTAAAGTAACACCATTATTTCTACTGTATAGATGAGAACACTCATATCTAGAGAAATGCTTGATCAAGATTTAAGTGACAAAACCAAGAATTGAAGTGAGGTCTAATTTCAAGGTTCAGGTATAAAACTATAAACGTTAAAATCACAATTATAAAGATGTAATCAGATAAGAATGCTGGTCTGGGTCACAAGGAGGACGGTGAGCCATTGACTGAGACAAAGGAACCCAGAGGGGAAGCAGCTTTAGAAACAAAAATCAGTTCTACACTCAAGGCGTTTCCTAATAAGCCCCAGCTCAATCTCTGTGATCAATTAGAACTCTCCACCTCCAAGAGGTAGGCTTGGCACTGCCTCTTCTCTGACCACTGTCATTTCACCTTCTGTCATTCCTCTTCCCAACACTTGTGAATGTCATTTTCATCAGCACCTTGTCTTCTAGCCTATTGACTGGAAACACATTCTCAATCCAGCAATCCTCTTCTGGCTTCATTTGGCATTCTTTGCTAATCCCTTGCCTCTTTGAACTTCTGTCATATTTAGTGGTAATTTGCCTCAAAAAACAATCTGATTTCATCTCCTACTGCTACTTCAGAAACCAGTTTTCTCCTTAATCTCCATTCTGTCTCTCCAGTACTTCCCTCTCCACTATGTTTCTATTGAACCAATCTCCTTGTAGCCAGATTAGCCTCCTGTCCTCCATGTCCAATCTGTGCAATCTAAAATGTAAATTTGACCATGATATTCCACTTCTTAAGGTCCCTCAAAGGCTCCCCATAGCTTTCAGAATACCATTTAAATTTCTTATTATGGCAAGGGAAGAACCTCCACAACCTTGGCCCCTTGCCATCATGACCACAGCACATGAATTCTTGGTCTGATCACACGAAACTATCTGTAGTTCCCTGATCACATCATGCTATTACATGACTCTGACCTTTTGCCTGAGATATCCTTTTTCTGCCAACCTGGCTAATTTCTACTCTACCTGAGCTATCTGGTATCACCTCCTCGAGGAAACTTTCCTCACAAATTCCCTCATATGATTATACTAGAGGCCCAGTACACGAAATTCATGCACAGGTAGGGTCCCTAGCCCTTCATTCCGTGCTGCCCCCTGGTGGTCAGCGCACATCATAGCAAGTGACTGAAATGCCAGTCAGTTTAACTCGCAAGAGGACACTTTGCATATTAGGCTTTTATATATATAGATCGTATACTTCTATGTTCCCACAAAAGACATGTCCTTCTATTTAAGGCATTGTCACACTATATCATAACTAACCTGATATCTAACCCCCAACATCCTTGTTCCAATTATATACTTACATACTCTTTAATGCCTTCTTCAGTACTGTGATATAGATACTTAGCAGAGTACTTGGAAAGTAATAGGCCCTCAATTGATATTTTCTAAATGAATGCACATAATCATGGTCTGCCTTTATCAACCCCCAAGATACTGTCGTTTTCCTATTTTCACCAAACTCTTCCAAAATGTATTCTACATAGGCTTGGTCAATATTTTTAGAACTCATTCATCAATGTAAATGCTTTCAGTGTTGCTATAGCATTAAGCTTTATAAAGTTACACTGTCCTACAGAACTTTCTACAATAATTAAATGTACTTTATAAGGCTGTTAAATGCTCAGCCTCTAGCCATATGTGGCTGCTAGTTATTAAAGTATGGTTAGTACAAATGAGGAAATAAATTTTTAATATTAATTAATTCTACCTTAAACAGTCACATGTGGCTGGTGGCCTTCATACTGAACAGCACAGTTCTCAAGTCTTATCAAATGATTCAAACACTACATCCAATGACCTTTTCTCAACAATCATTCTCCAAGTCATCTTTTCAACATTCAATATTCTGAGATTCCTCTTTGTTGTTGACATACCACCCTGTTCTCTTCCTATCTCTCTGACAGCTCTCACTTTTCTTGACTTCACTTTCTTTTGTTCCCAAAAGTCTGAATATAACCCTAAGACTAGTTGCACTTCAAATTCAAAACTGTCTCTCTCACCAATTTCACATACTGCCGTAATTTCAACCATCAGCTCTATGCAGACTTCACAACTAGAATGTCAACTCTGATCCCTCTTCTCAGATCCAATCTCCAAAAACAAAATGGGTATTTCCAATGGAATACTATTAACTCAAATTTAACAAATATCAAATTCAAATTCATCATCTTCTTTTACTCAATGTCATGTCTTGTTTTTGTTTTTTTGTTAATCCTCACCTGAAAATATTATTTCCATTTGGTTTTTTAGACAGAGGAATAGGAGAGAGAGAAAGAGAGAGAGAGAGAAACCAACTAAGACACACTGATTGGTTGCCTCCCCTTAAGTGCCCTGACGGGGGGCCTGCGGATCGAACCTGCAACCCAGGTATGTGCCCTTGACTGGGAATCAAACCAGAGACCATTCAGTGCATGGGCCGATGCTGTAACCACTAAAGGACACTGTCCAGGGCTCAATTTCATGTCTTTCAATGGTACAATCACTCTCATGGTCAGATAGGCTCATAGTCTAAAAATTACCGTTAAATTATTTTTCCTTTCCATATTCATGCATTGAATCCTGTCAATTGTTTTCTTAAAGTTTCTTGAATCACACACTTCACATCCAAGTTCATATTTCCCATCACTGATATATGAACTAATTCTAATGCTCCCAAATTTACTTCAGTTTCTCCTATGTCTGCTAGATAATAAGACTAAAATAGCACTTTATAAATTAAACTTCCCTTCCCCTAACCCTCCAAAAAGACATTCACACACCTTCAATGACCTGTCATCTGTCACCTGTCCTTGTTCAGACTACTACGAACCTTGCCAACTTCATCTTCTACCATTTCCCTCAAAGTCTTCACTAACTTAAATGGTCTACCAATTATTTCTTAAACATGTAAAGCATATTCCAGCTTCCTCTATTTTACACCTATTGTTTCTTCAGTCTATAATGCCTTCTTTCTCTGTTCATGTTTTTTTGGGCTTTCCTTTCCTTCAACAATCAGTTCAAGTACCCTAAGCTTCAATGTAGCCTTTTATTTCTGCCCTGGTTCCCAGTGACTCCTTCTTGTTTTTAATTTCAATATCACTACCTTTTACCATTCAGTTTGCTTTTGGTATGTGCCACTGTACTTTTATGTAATATCTTTAAATTTTAATGAACATCTTGAATCAATTAAAATAGAAGCTTTTAGAAGGTAAGGACTGTGTCTTATAGCATCTTTATGTTCTAGAAACTTAGCTTTGTTCCTATACTTAGTAGAAACTTAAGGAATAATCACACAAAAAAAGATGTATTTGAGAGGTTGCAAGTAATAAGAAAAAGAGAAAATCAAGACCAAGGTCACTAACAACTAAATGGGTAAAACTGGAAGTAAGAGGGGGAAAAGCAATTTGACATGAGAGCAGAGAATATGGGCAAAGGCAATCACCGAATCAGGCATTAGTGTATTAACCATCTAAAAATAGCAAAATCTTATAAAACCATCATCAAATGACTTTCGGGGTTTTTCTGTTTTATAGGCAGTTCATCTGAATAAGCAATGCTCAAAATAAATAGGTAAATCATAGGGTTTTTGTTTTACCTTTTATTCACCTACAATGCTATTTTTAAAAAAGTAATTTGATATATTAAGGCAAGCTATTAGCTTGTGCAGGTGGGTATGAGAATTCTCAAAACATTAAAATGATAGCATTAACTGCACAGAAGTTTGTATCTGATCTGTCCAGCCCTGGAAATACAGAACTGGCATTCAGTGCTATGAGGGTACAGTATGCCCTGTCAGTTCTTAGGGTCACAGCTTAAAATAGTTGCATAGTTCATGGCCAACAGAGGCTGGTCCAACACTGTTAGGCTGCCATGGATCAGTCTAACTTCATAGATGACTATTTTAAGCTACATTTCTAAATAGCAAATGGAGCAGCCAGGAAATACTAGCTTTCTACTTTCAAGTATAGGTGAACTAGCCACAGGTTTTCTCTAAAAAGGTGGAGGAGATCATTCTGACCATATAAGAACCATTCTACATCCTTCTACCAAGCAATCCAGACCCATCTTCAGTTGTAGGGAATTCAGTTCTAATCATCTCTTTTACTTCCAATTAAGATGAGGAGAGTATGAGCACACCTTTGGGGAAAAGAGAAAATTTTTTAAATTATATTGACTTTCTTGGACACAAATAACATCTGGCATATTTGGGGGCAGGAGATGATTAGAACATAGGCAAAGAAAAGGTTTTTTTCACTTACATGAATTTACAATCTGATTAACTTTTTAAAAACCTCATTTATTAAAGTACAACACAGTTAATTTCCTTATAGTCAATAATACTATAATAGCTATGTATGGTGCCAGTTGGATACTAGAAATATGAGGGGAAACACTTTGTAAAGGATACAATTGTCTAACTAGTATGCTGTACACCTGAAATTAATACAAACTAATACTGAATGTAAACTATAATTGAAAAAAATTTTTTAAAGAAAACCTCATTTATAAAAATAAACCTTAAGAGACAGATAGAAGAACTGCTTGTGCATTTGATAGGAGAGACTAACAAACCACTGAAAGACGTGTGCAGACAACGAAAAGAATAAACTTCACTGTAAAATTATAATAAAGCCAAATTTTCTTAACAAATGATCTCTACATTTCCTATTCAAAATAGTTATAAGAACTCTTAAGTTTAACTATTTTGTCCTTTTAATTTCTTCACCACAATAAAGCTGCAAAAGGCCATGAATTTACAACACCTTTACTATTTTAGTGGTTATTTCATTAATTGCTCACAGTTAAGATACCTCAATATTATTTCCACATATGTACATTTAATCATGATACATGGTAATAGATGGGAAATAAAAGATAAAGTAAAATAACTAATAGGAAAAAAAACCAGTGATCACATATCTCTTCTCCCTTTGTCACAGTAGAGAGGTTAATTATTATTTTCTATTTCTGTCCCTTAGAAAAATTCAATGTGCTTTATCAGCTTGGGCAGACAATGATCTATTTATTATCAAATACTCTTTGCCTGCTTATCCTTGATGATTCTAAAAAGGAAAGGGACATACAAGTATTCTTATTTCTAGACCTAGTAAACACTATGTAAACTTAGAGAATGGCATGAAAAAATGCAACAAAACTACATTTGGTTACATTTTTTAAAAACTTAAAATATTACTAACAAGTTCTTTCAATGACTGCCAGTAGATTGTATCACATAAAATTTTTAGTTTTAACTAGTAAACAAATAATTGTGATTAATTTAAAATCCTAAACAAAAAAGCATAAAATATGGCCAGATTTACAGTACCTGGAGTATGGCTGTCCAGGTGAGTATCTAACGTTTCAGTATGAAAAGAGACTATACTGCTAAAAGACAAGAAAAAGCTTATATGCTTAATGTAACTTTCAGTAACAGTTACAAAACACAAAGTCAATGTAAAACTGAAACATGTCATTAAATAAAATCAGGAGATTTTATAGTATCACAAAATATTGAACTTTTCATACTCTCAGGAGACTAATAAAATGATCATCTTTTACTCAATTACCAAAAAAGGCAAAAGCATTCCAACATGGTGAAACCCAAAGTGTCTGCTTAGCACAGCTGAATAATAAATACTAGAATAATAAATACTGACAAGTTTTTTAAAAATTCCCACATACTCATGGAAAATGGAATCAAATAATGAAGTCAAAGCAAATTTTTTCAATAGAATTACATCTACTTAGTCAAATATTTATTAAGTACCAACTATGTGCAAAGCACTATCAATGCACACTGGAGAAAGTAAAAATAATCACAGTACTATTAAAAGTAGCACAGTAGACCATTACTTAGCTCCCATTTATAGCTGTTTATTTTTCATTACAAAAGCTGAAACTTTGTGGCAACAAGAACATCTCAGGGCCTCTGGCAGACCAGGTATAAGAGTTGGCAAGAAAAGGGAATGGAAAAATGATTTTAAATCTAGGAGTTCCCACCCTGGCTGGGTAGCTCAGGTGGTTAGAGTGCCGTCCCAATACTCCAACGCTGCGGGTTCGATTACCAGTCAGGGCATATAATAGAAGCAACCAATGAATGCATAAGTAAGTAAAACAATTACTTTCTTTAAATGTGGAAAACCAAATACTTATAGAAAGACCCAACAATACAGAACACAGCAGAAAGCTATTTCACCCCAAATCTGATCTCAACAATTTTCCCCCATATTATCTCAGTTCACAATATGATTATTTGATCCAGTCAAATTTAAGATAAAAGTACATACTGGAAAATGGTTAGAACCAAGCACCTAGCTTAAAAGTTGTTAAAGTTTCTAAGTTTGTAACACCAAAAACAAAATTAAGAATAAAAAAAAGAGGTGAGATACAAAAACGAGTGAATTTTGGACATAAAATATCTGGATTAATTAGAAGTTTATGAAATAAAATTTAAATAACTATATTAAATTTTAGTTTTGCTAGATGAAAAAAACTATCAACTGGAATAGTTACTTAGCAACCAAACCACAGTCATTTGGGACAGGAGAAAACAAAATTAACTTATGACTGTACTCCCTTAAGAGAGGGAAGAAACAAGAAAAATGTGCCTATAATTTTCTTCCTAATAAAAAAGCTTAAGACACTTGCATGTCTATTTAAGCCTCAAGGAGTTAGACCTGGGTTATCCTAGTTTTCACAACTACAGGTGTGAACTACATATCCACTTTGGGCCTGCCTCTGTTTTTTCAATTTTAAACAAAAACAGCTAAACCAAAGATGATCTATAAAAATATCTTAAGAGCTCAGAATTTCTGTCATTTTCTAATGAGGTTAAATAAAAATTTTTATGTGCATATATACATATATGTATACACATATACATGCACATATGTATATATTTACATACACACAAACACTTATATCTCAATACCATTCTGAATCTCTATTCAAGTTACTTCTAAAGAAAACTTGAAACTTAACAATATTTAATACTACCTCTATTATAAAAACCCCTTGGTCGTGACGCTGTCATGCTGGAATGACCGAAGACTGGTCACCAGGAGGCTGCGTGTGCAGCGAGGCGCATGCGGGTGGGCAGGGACTTGACCCTGGGTCTCGCAGGCACCGGCGGGACTTGACTCTCGGTCCCGGTGCACTGGGTCTGGGTCTCGCGCGATTTCACGCGTTGGGCCCCTAGTTTCTTAATAATAAGACTCTGCCATAGGATTATAAAATGAATCAGTAGCCTACAATTTAAAACATAATGTATTAATAGAAAACCTGAGGTGTAGTAAAGTTAACAGATGAGAAGACTGCCACTGAAAAGATAGTTTGCTATTCACCTTCCCAAGAGGAGGGGCCACACCATGCCACAGGTGCTACATTAGGGATGCACCAGGTTTGGTCAGGAGGCAGAGGGAGTGGGAGGAATTGTGGGCAAGAGTCTTTATTGTGGTTTCCACAGGGGAAAAAAAAGGAAAGACAAGAGAAATAGGCTTAGGATTGGCCGCCACTAAATTTCAGGAGGCTCTGGGGCACAGGGGCTATCTCTAGTTGGTATCTGACTCTGGGATGGTGATTAGAGTGAGGGAACAGTGGCCTGAAGTGTGAGGGCTGACAAGGATGTAGTTGGGGACTGAGCTCTGGCTTGTTTGGTTTGTATTTGAAAAGCACATTCAAGGAGGAGTTGTTTACTATCTCTAGGATTTGGTTAACCCTGAAAGGGGCAGTCCCTCCGGAATCAGAAAGGCCCCAGATGTCAAAGCATCCAAATACAGAAAATAAAACCTATAGTTAGCACACCCAATTAAGCTAAGTAATAGAGAAGTCTCATTTCTACTGGATATCTATTGAACACTCCCTATATACCAACTTTGCACTATATGCTACAGATACAAAAATGGCCATGTAATAGGAAATGAGACTGCAAAATGCTAAACACATACACATATTAATTTAGAAAAAAATAAGAGTAAATTTATAAAAATTAACAATAGTTTACAACTACTTAGTGCTTTGCCATTTACAAAAGATTTTCACAAATACTAAATTTAATCCTCAGAAAAAAAAACCTGTGCAGTAGGCAGATTGTTATATCTTCATTTTATAGGTGATTATGACTAAGACTCAAGAAAGTTAAAGAATATTCCCACATTACAGACCAGGGAACTGAAGCCTAGTCTTGATTCTTGTCCCTTGCTATTTTCGCCAATACCAAAACTCCTTCATTTTACATTAAAGCTGTAATATTATTATGTAGAAACAAACAGTTAGCTATTCCTAATCACTGAGGATTGATTACTCAATGGTCTTTACTATAACAACTGGGCTAACATGTGGAAAAGCATGTAGGATTCTTAATAACTTATGAAACAAATTCTTTACTGTACTTGTAAGTGGTATTTAAAGGCACAATTATCTTTGGTTTTTTTCCAACTTATGATAGTAGTAGAGGGCTAAAATCTCACAAAACCTTTCTAAGACGTAATTTCCAAACAGCTCTTTTATTTCACAGCAATCATGGGTGGAATATACACTTTTAAAAGAGTTTCTAGCATTTAAATTAACCTGCCAAATGAAATCCAAGCAAACATTACATTGAAAATTCTTTTGAAATCAGTTTATAAAAATTTGTTTTATCATTACTTAATTTTTAAAAATTCTTCACAGAAGTCATTCTATAAGTGCATGGTAACCTTAGTGCAAACCAGCATTAAAAGAAGTACTTTTGAAACCAAGATGGCGGCATAGGTTAACGCCGGAGTTTGCTGCCTCGAACAACCACTTCAAAAATACAACTAAAAGACGGAACGGACATCATCCAGAACCACAGGAAGGCTGGCTGAGTGGAAGTTCTACAACTAGGAGGAAAGAGAATAGCATACGAGTTTCTAGCATTTAAATTAACCTGCCAAATGAAATCCAAGCAAACATTACATTGAAAATTCTTTTGAAATCAGTTTATAAAAATTTGTTTTATCATTACTTAATTTTTAAAAATTCTTCACAGAAGTCATTCTATAAGTGCATGGTAACCTTAGTGCAAACCAGCATTAAAAGAAGTACTTTCATATGTGTACTACTATAGCACCACTGTTTAGCTACTGGATCAACCCCTAAAGATAACCACTAATTCTTTATTACCATAGATTACTTTTGCCTGCGTTTGAACTTCATATAAATGGAAGCATATAAAATTAAACAAACAAACAAACAAACAAACAAACAAACAAATAAAAGAAGTACTTTCTTGCCCAGCCAGCGTGGCTCAGTGGTTGAGCGTTGATCTATGAACCAGGAGGTCACGATTTGATTCCGGGTCAGGACATATGTCTGGGAGTGGGCTGGATCCCCAGTGTGGGGTGTGCAGGAAGCAGATGATCAATGATTCTCTCTCATCACTGATGTTTTTATTTCTCCCTCCCTCTCCTTTCCTCTCTGAAATCAATAAAAATATGTATTTTTTAAAAAGTACTTTCTTCCCCAGGTAACAGATGGAATTGATAGGAAACTCCATTTGTTCCAATAGTTGTGAGGCTGAAAATGGTGCTCTCTCTGCTTTACCACCACTAGCAGAAAATTCTAAAATTCCAGCAGATGAAGATACTACTGCTCTTAAGAGACCTCTTTAAACTACAAATCAGCTGTCATATTCTTCACATTCTAGAACAGGGGTGGGCAAACTTTTTGACTCGAGGGCCACAATGGGTTCTTAAACTGGACCGGAGGGCCGGAACAAAAGCATGGATGGAGTGTTTGTGTGAACTAATATAAATTCAAAGTAAACATCATTACATAAAAGGGTACGGTCTTTTTTTTTTTTAGTTTTATTCATTTCAAACGGGCCGGATCTGGCCCGCGGGCCGTAGTTTACCCACGGCTGTTAGAATCAGGAATAAAAGTTTTCTCCTTTGAAACTGAGACACAAAGACCCACCTAACTCTTCTACTTCTAAATTTCTAGACTTTACACTATTATTCCTGAGGCAGGCTGATTAATCTGTCATGACAAGCTAAGGTAATAAAATGGATTGGTTGGTTGGGATGGTTACTATATAGTTGAAGAGCAAAGACAGCAAGGACTACAGTAATAATCTTTGGTCTGAAGATCAGAAACTAGCTTTTGGAAAGGTTAGGCAGTAATACTGGATAACAGAGCTCTCTGCAAAGTTACTGTGGCAGTGTTTACTCTCATAGGGCTATCTATGCTGCTTGTTAGCTAGAGAAGCTCTGGCCTAAGCATATTCCCAGGCTTAAAAGGCAGCTGGTCTCTGACCAGGCTTCCTCAGTGTCTATATCCACTGGCAAGGGCATTTTTAGTAGTTAGATGAGGTCCCAGATGGCAATCTGAATGCCCAAGGGTTTAGGGCCTGGCCCTCATCTTTGCTGTTGCTGAAGGCTGGGCATGTGCCTAGTTAAAAGGATGATGGCGCATCATTTTCTAAAAAATTTTGTGAATTCTTAATAATGACTCAAACCTAG